TAATGTGTTTTATATTTATTAATAGAGAGAATATATTTATCATCCAGAATCCAGAATCAATAGCTCTATGTGCATGTAATTAATTATGCAGAGTTCTGACTGAACTTGTTATTTCTAGAGAAGAATGCAAAATTAACACATAAAATATTTATTCAAAGCAACGGCAGAAGTAAAATGTATAATATCTACCTAATTATTCAGAAATCTTAAATAAATAAGTAGCAAAAAACTTAGGAGCATTACATATATTACCACAGGTAAAGAATACGTATATTATGACATAGTTCCACAGGAAGATATTTATCTCAAATTCTTACTTTTTGGATCCTACTTAAATTGTGTTTCTGGACAACACACAAAGTGATCTCAACAAATTAATAATGGTTAAATATAGTGATTATATTTACTTTTAAAATGCTAAAACGGATAGTTTAAGAAGATTAGAATTCATCTAGCATAATCTGTATAAGCCTTAATACACCTTCAGTACACATCCAAGCTGAATTTTAACGAATTATAGCCCAGAATGCTTTTATACAAAGCAAGAAATTTAAATATCCACAATAAAACAGATCTATTTATTTTTTTTCATAATTTCATTTTTATAGTTTATAATATCATATATTTATTGCATCATCATGTAGGATGCTTGTAGAAAAACGAATATAAGCTCACATAATTATAGAAGTATGCAACATCTTAATGAAGCAGTGAAGTGTTCCCTAAAACACTTCATAAGATGCGTATGTATCGCTTTACATCTCGGCATTATAGAACTCACTATCACGACGTCCCTGCGAACGCTGCTCGGACTAAATGCCCGGATAGATTTTCAACAGGTTCAAAGTAGAAACGGAAGCGCTGACTCATCTCCCCTATGTTTCTACTCCGTCGAAGTGAGCGTTTACACTGTCAAAGTAATCGTAACGAGCGACTCGTTCCGTGTCGTAAACTGACCTTTACACTGTCAAAGTAATCGTAACGAGCGACTCGTTCCGTGTCGTAAACTGACCTTTACACTGTCAAAGTAATCGTAACGAGCGACTCGTTACAGGTGTAAACTGACCTTTAAACGCTACATTTATGATGAAAAGTAAACGAATTAGGCGTTGAATTAAAGCTCATTTGATTATATTTAAAAAAAATTACATACTTATAATAAATATTCCTCACTTCAAATTTGAATTAATTATTAACGCCATTGTTGTCGGTGTTTACATTTACCCGGTTCTTTACAGAAGTACGTCCGCAGTACTTATCAGATTTTAGTCTAATGCTTCTAAAAGAAAGTCAAAATTTTTATCGCAAAGTGACATTAAATATCTTATTGCCTTATTCATTACTTACAGTAAATGAAACTTTTTTGAAAAATTAGGGCTTCTGAAACTTTGTACAAAAAATGGACTAATTAGCAGCCAAAAAGCTACTATTTTCCCATCAAATGAACAGCTCTTGCAGTGACAGAATTAAAGAAACTAACAATGCTTTGAGTTTATACGTTTAATCTTCGATGTTTCATAATATTTCAAAACTGTAATGCATTAGAATACTACAGGATCGTTAAATAGTAACCTATCTATCATATTATACAATATTTACGCCTTGAAACAAATCAATAACTATTTCAAAGTACTGTATAACTGAAACAGTATTTGCAATCAGCTTAAAAATTAAAGGGATTTACATACTCTTGTTAGGAAGTGAATAAAGCTCAACAAACTATCTTAGCTGAAATGGAGAACAAAATCCCGAAATAAAAGTATCCCGATAACCAATTCACTAGCCTATTAATTCATTCAATTTCAAAGTATGGCGCAATAACCGCAAAACCGCAATGATGAATCAGTGTTATAAATCACTGTTGCCAGACCCTGATCTCGATCGAGGTCAATCGATTTTACTCTTCTCCCTGTAAATTACAGTAATGTATGCTGTGTTGATTTTATTGCTCTGTCATGAGGATTTTTAGATTAGAATAAATAAAAACTTGACATTTTTGCGTCTAATAAATTAATCATAGATTAGATCTTAAGTTATCGTCTGAAAAGTCAAAGTAAAATATTTCCAGTATATTTTGCCAATTCATATTTTACCATCTATTGATATAATTTGAATTTTTAAAATAACAAAACATTTTATATCTGATTTACTAAGCTTGATTGTGAATAACTGATATTTTTCTATTATTAGTTTTTCAATAATGGCAGCATGACCAAACGGCTTGTTTAATAATTGAATTATACTATACCAAGGAATACCTCTCCTTAGAGATTCTTATGTCTGTTGTATGTGTAAGCTAATGGTACTGGGTCTGGTAAATACCGTTTATTAATTGATGAGAAGAGTGAATTTCATTTAAAAGTATTATAACTAATAATTTGGTTATGAAATAGAGAAGCTTGAAGTAAGTATGAGATTTAGAAATCTAGTATTTTAATAAATATAAATAGTTTGAAAATGTCTGTGTGTTCTGACGTTCTAAACTGTGTGGAAATTTTTTTTTGTGTGTGTGGGTTTTAATGTGTCGCATAGTATCATGCACGTTATTCTATTTTGTAACGTTAGTTTATTGTTATCGCCTTTCCGACATTGTTTTGAACTGCTGGCTGTCTGTCTTTCTGTTCAGCAAAAATAGGTAATATAACATCGCGAAACGTGCATTAAAGTCTTTAATCTCGAACGCAGAAATACAGCTCTTGAAGAAAAAATCATATTTGCTTATCATCATATTTCAGTTTGAGGTATTTTTTAAGAAATCCAGGAAATGTATTCGAATAACATGTATTTGGTGGACATGTAGAACTTTTTTAAATTTTTACTTGCAAATGCTTTGACAGAACTCATTGGTGGAATCGAAAGTAGTCAGACAGCTTTAAATGTTGTTCATTCTGGCACTTGAATACTTTTCCTGATTTGGATTTCCCTGATTTTCCACATCTCTGTAATGAAAATCCAGTTCTAAAAGATTCATAAAGACATCTTGGGCAGATAAGCTACTTTTTCTTTTATTGTTAACCTCATCTCATTTGTAATGTTGAGTATTTCGTGTCATTGAATAGCATGCAGCTAAGTTAATTAGGTAAAAAATAAAACAGATTATAATTATTGTGTAAACATCTATATAACAGATGTTTATATCAAAAGCAGCTATTCATGTCTTTAGAATTGCTTCAAATTTGTTTTGCAGGTTTTACATTGTAATCTGCATTTTATTGTAATGATGTCAACCGCTGAAGAGAGCTTTCAGTTATATTTATCTGAATTAATAAGTAAAATACTTAACTGAATCAGTAGTTTTAGTAATCAGTCCATCAGTTTTATGAAATCAAGCAATTCCTTGTCACATCCAGCGTCATTATATTGTAACGGAGGGTAGAAATCAGTACTAATTACAGACAATGCATATATATTGCAATTAGGATCATGCATTTAATATGTGCATTTGGTAAACTGTTATTCATCATAGAAATGACAGCTGACGAATTAATTTTCAGCTTACAAACACATAAATTTTGATATTGTCAACCTTAACCTCAGATTAGGTTGTTTGGTAACTGTATATTATTTTATTTGCTTTCCATATTTAACTGAAACAAGTTAAGCTATTTATTTTCTAAATGATTACCTGGCTAATCATCAACATAAGGTTTTTAGTGACTTGATGACCATGTTTGGTGATAAGTATTGCTAAATATTAACTATGCAGCCAGTTTGCAGCACACAGTAAATTTTTGGTAATTAAAGTAAAAATTATAGTTAAGTATTACCACTTGTACAGAATTGATAACAAAATTCACCTTGATATTTTAAGAAGGGAAGACTTCAGAAGGACATAACTATAAAATATAGTGATGTAATGAAAAATAATTAATTCTTGTAAAAGAAGATAAATGTATGAAAAAAATTCTTAAGGATAAGAAAATTCTCAGATTTAGTATGTCTGCTTAAAATAATTATACATAAGCTTTTCAATATGGCATTAGTTATTCATGTGAAATAAAATAAAGTCAGATCCGAACTTGTCAACACTTCGATAATCAGGGATTTAGGATTATTCCAGATATTAGATGATCAATTAAAATCTAGGGTACTGTAACGATCCTGATTTTTGATGGAACGTTAGTTTTAAATTAGAGGATTTCCTATTCTCATGAGAACTAATCACCAGGTAATTAACAAAGAAAACACATTAAGAACGTCCCTTGTGAACTATAACCTAGTGTCTGTTAAAGGTAATCAACAAAAGAAATTTGTAAGGACACTCCGCTGTGCAGTTTCCTTGAGACATTAACATGAAAAAAATTGGAGAACTGTTTGATCGGCGATATGGAAGTTTTGTATGTTATGGCTGTACTGTATTGATGTTTTACTTTTTATTAATCCAGAAATTTTTGTTAAGTTTTAAAATAAATGTTTAAAAGACTACTGATCATTCATCCATCTCGGATGTTCTACAGTCAAAAGTTGTTAATCTGGACTCGTCGGGACTTTGGCGATTCCGGATTATCGATTTTTCCAGATTATAGATCATCAGTTTAAATCTGGTAAGATGGCATTCAGAAATTATGAAATTAAAAATATGAAACCGTAATTTATGAAATAAAGAGCAATTATGATCTAAACAATATCAAAATTTACAAAAAAAGCTTAATATTTATTTGTTTACTTTATTAAACATTTCTCTCAACACGCGCATACGTAAAGCATACATTACGCATAGTCGAAATTAGAAAATTGCAACCAGAAAACTATTTGAATTGTATTCGTAATATTTATAACGACGAGGAATTTGATTTAAATCGTATCAAAGACGGAGTACATTGAGATGAAATGCTACATTTAGTAAGGAATTATAAGCCGAATAAAATAAAAACATCTGGTCTGAAGGTAAGGATAATGCTGACTTCCAGTTCATTGTGCGCCGCGACGCCCCACACCCCCGCAGAGCAGCATGAAATTAATAAACAGATTTCGGAATGGTTAGAGAAACAAAGGATATGCCTTTATCCATTTTTTGCAGCAGTGTCACTTTTTGTTTGATGGACATTGAAACAGCCTTTGGCAGCTCCAGAATCGGAAATTCTTTTTGACATAATCGAAAGTTCAAGCTTACTTTTATAAAATTGCTCTAACTGTCTGCAAAAATAATAAGCCGGATCCAATTAGAAGATTAAGGAACAATGCAATCTACAACATTAACTGAAATAATTAGATAATTTTAGCTTAGCTTATACTGTCCGTTATACATTAAATGCGCATGCTTAAAGGTATTATGCGCTTGCGTAAACGCATAATGCATTTACGCGTGCGCAGAAAGTTTGTTGCTTTGAGGTCCGGATTAAGACTTTTGGCTGTATAATAATGGGAACATCTGTAGCTACAGTAAGGTCTTCACCAATCAGTAAAGTAGTCTCGGACTATTTCACCAATACACTAAACAAGAACATTTACAAATCTCCTGAATAAATAGTTGGATGAATATATATGGAAACTAGAATAATCTTGACTGTCCATTAACAATTATATCAGCCATACAAGTATCGCTTGCTTCTGAATCCTGTATTTTCTTATGCTACTTAACAGTAAATTCTTTGAATACACATTCTACCACTGTGACGTATGGGTGACGCCAACCAACAAGATGTATAGAGGGCACTAGCTCTTAACTTGAAGGCGCCAAAAGTTTTAGTTTCCATGAGGAAGTTTGACAGAGAGGTCATACGGAAGGCTCGTGGGAGCCATTAATGAAACCGAAATTCACTTTTATTACTTTATATATTTCAGTTATTAGTATTATAGCTTAGTATTAGTTTTGTGTTTGTGAAATAAATGTTTCAGATAACAAGAAGGTGGAGTTATTTCTCTATGAGGCGGTGTATGAAGAGAGGGATGATATCACACGCTCTCTTTCGAGAACCAGAGCTTTTAGATAATCAGAGATTTAGATGACGGTAGAGAAACTTCAAGAGAAGCAGGTAGGAAGCTTTTGATTTTATTTACTCAAAGTATAGATGTATTGAAGATATATATATATATATGTATGTATGTATGGTATATATAAATTAAAATGTATAAGAATACTAAGAAAGAAGATTTAGTAAACCTTCTTGGTAAAATTGAAGATACACTTTGTAAACTAATGATTTCCGACAAACTTTTCCAAACATTAGATAAAGAAACGGCAACTTACATTAATATTAAAACAGGAGAAAATTGGTTAAAACCTAAGGATTTATCTAAAGAAGTTTACCTATATTTTGTAAACAAAGGCAAATCGTTAAACGAAACTACTTTTAACGCTAACGAAAACACAGCTAAATCGTCCCACTCTTCAAGAGAATCGAAATATATTCCACGTCATATGAGAAGCAACATAAATAAAAGTAAATAACTCCACCTTCTTGTATTTTAAACCTTTATTTCACAAACACAAAACTAATACTAAGCTACAATACTAACGACTGAAGTATATAAAGTAATAAAAGTGAATTTTGGTTTCATTAATGGCTCCCACGAGCCTTCCGTGTGACCTCTCTTTGTCTGCATCTTGGAAACTAAAACTTTTGGCGCCTTCAAGTTTAAAGCCAGCGCCCTCTATACATCTTGTTGGTTGACGTCACCCATACATCACAACCACACTTATCAAATTTCTATAAATTGCAACACCACCAGCTTGGCGAAATAAAATAGAGCAGATACCACCCAAGCACACTGACTGTCTATGTACAACTGTTTACCAGTGACCTGGCCACTCACATGTGATCACACATGCGCACAGAGCTTTGACTTCATCAAAATTTTGCTATTTTTAAAGCTTTACTATGCTTATACCCTTTGTCCATTTTTTTTGGGGGGGGGTATTTGCTAATGTGCTTTTTCATGTATCTAATGATGTATTTAGATTGATTGTAACATTTGTATTTTTAAAGATACAAGCATTCGAGCACACCTCAATTAGGGTCTTAATTTTTGCTTTTCCATTAGACAATTATGAAGGAATGTAAGCTTATGTTTAAAAAAATAGTTTAGACATTGCTATTTGGGTCATTTCTGAAGCTGTAGTGTGTTGATAGTCATGCGGTGATGAAAGCAAAAAAATGATAAATACGATTCTCCAAGCTGGCATCGGCATTGAAGTGGAATTAAGGATTGGGACTCTCCGCATATTTTATTACAAAAATATATCAAATGCGCAAGCATAAAGAATAAAAAAAAAATTCTAAGAAAGAAGTCACTAATGAGTCAGAGGTCTAGATTTTAGATCATTTGGAATATTGGATGTCCAGTTTTTAAACTTTGTACTGTATTTTAAAAATAAAAATAAAATAAAAAAAAAAAAAAATTCACTTGTTTTAAAATCTGCTATATTGCAATTATCTGTCTTAAATTTTAAATGTATTTTTCAGCCCATTATCTAATATTCAGCAATGGCTGTTCATTCTGCTCCTCCAAAAAGGAAAGAGATCTACAAATATGAAGCTCCATGGACTGTTTATAGCATGAATTGGAGTGTACGTCCAGATAAGCGCTTCAGATTAGCGCTTGGAAGTTTCATTGAAGAGTACAACAACAAGGTATTCAAGCGTTTTTCCTTTTTTTTCCTTTTGCAAAGAAAGTGTTTGTAATCACGAAAGACATTGTGTATCATATTTCATCAGAATTATACATTTTGATCACTTCTGAATCCATCTGGAAGTTTTTTTTTTTTTTTTTTTGGCAGGATGTCTGTCTGTATGAACATAATAAAGAATTTTTTCTTGCCAAACATATATACATTTTCAAAATAAAGTAATTAATAGTAAATTAAAAAGGCCCATGACTTGCGCTAAAGCTGCAAAGTAATAAACTAATAATTCACAATAAGAAAACTTTCCATGTACCATCTCCAAGGAACACAAATTCAATTTAAAACCATGAAAGAAAATATTTTTTTAGTCTGAATTAAAATTAGTATTTTAAATAGTAATTTAAACTTCTTGTTTAGAAATCTGCAAAGAAAAATCTTAAATGGCAAAAATACCAAAACCAAAAGTAAATTCTAAAAAGTAGTTACTGTGGTTGATCTTTACATTATGGTAACTTGGCGAAAATTTGGCGACCAACTCTCCTACAGCAACCCTCTATTTTTTTTTTTTTTTTCCCGCCGCCATTTTGTCTTCACGAAGTAAAGACATGTTTCTTTTCTTTTTATCTACTGAACACTTCTTTCAACAATCTACTAGCCGAATTACACTTATGCTAGAAATTTTATCTAACAAAACTGCTTAATCATGACAAATATTCACTGCAAAATTGGGAAAAAGTGCACAATACCATACTCCTTACGCGTTTTTTTCAAAATAACACATACACATAAACCATGTACACGCCGACTTATTTTTACTTAAAAAAACATCCCAGAATTGCACAAAAATGGCATTGCGCCACACTCTTCACTATATCCATGTACACTGCTTTTTTCTCATAAATTAGAAAAATTTCACAAAAAATACATGACAATTTTCTCAATCTTTAAACCCGGTAAAAAAGAACATATATGAAATTACCTCATCGCGAAAAAGTAATTTACCCTTTCCAAATATGAACATTTCCACATATAAAATAAATAAAGTATCCAAAAACTTTACCTCTAAATCATCTATTACATTATACACGTCACCAACGAATTCATACCGCAAGCATTACAAATACTTAGTATCAAATATTTAAATTATTTCCATGCACGTTTACTTCAACTTAAACGTGTACCAAATTTCTACAAACATAAAATTCACAAAATAACTATCATTTAATTAAAATATCACTAAACCATGTACACGCCGACTTATTTTTACTTAAAAAAACATCCCAGAATTGCACAAAAATGGCATTGCACACACCCTTCACTATATCCATGTACACTGCTTTTTTCTCATAAATTAGAAAAATTTCACGAAAATACATGACAATTTTCTCAATCTTTAAACCCGGTAAAAAGAACATATATGAAATTACCTGATCACGAAAAAGTAATGAACATTTCCACATATAAAATAAATAAAATATCCAAAAACTTTTACCTCTAAATCATCTATTACGTTATACACGTCACCAACGAATTCATACTGCAACCATTACAAATACTTATTGTTAGATATTTAAATTATTTCCATGCACATTTACTTCAACTAAAACGTATACCAAATTCCTACAAAAATAAAATTCACAAAATAACTATCATTTAATTAAAATATAATTAAATTCAAAAACACTACTTAAAATATAAATGAGCACATACATTAAATTAATACATACATAAATACCCATTTCGAATTCACTTTAGTTACGGCCATGGATCCAAAAATTCACGAACACTGTTTCACACAACACAAAATAAAGCCAAATACAAAATTTCCAGATTTTTTCCCGATTTCCCCCCTTTTTCGATTAAAGAACCGTAATTCGTCCATTAATATCACATGACATATCCCATGATCTCTCATTTCCCTCACACAAAATAATGCGTAATCGGAACTGAGTACTGCTCACATTATTACCAAAGTGCCAGGTAGTAACCTTTATCGCCTCCAAAATGTCGCCAAACTACCAGTTACCATATTGTAAAGATCAAATGTTACTGTCATTGATCGCAGATTAATCAATTTATCAAGGGAAAAACCAATCTACCATCAATTAACACTAACTAAATTAAGAAGAGAGTGTTTCATCTTACTTCCAAGTAAGCATCAAATTATTTGCTAGATCCAAATCAGAAGTCAAAATTATTACTCAATCAAAATTAAGACATTAGCCCATTTAATCCAAGAATTTTGTTAAACAAAATAGCAAATAATCTTAAAATTAAAGTTTCTATTAAGAACACAATGTGAACGAGATGCTTACTTTACAAGACATATTCCCTACACTCTCACTTCAATTTCAAAAACAGAAGTAAACATATTAGAACATAAAAAATTAATTCAAAATCATAATAAGATAAAAAAATGATACAGTCTCAAAATTAAAGTTTAAAACATTTATATAAGTACAGATTTTAAAGATCAAACTAGTAAGTTAAAACTAACAAACTTGCCTTAAAAATTTTAAGACCAAGTGTCTGGAAATTGAAGTATTAAGTGATGGAAGTAAAAAGGGTTGCCGTAAAGTGTAGTTTTCTATTTAAGAAAGTTAACTTAAATTGGAGATTTTTCTTATTATAAATTATGCTACTTTTCCGTTTTGCCAGTGCAAATCTAGCCAAGCAGACTTTATTGGCTACAACATGCAGTATACTCATAAAAAAATGTTAACAAATGTTAATTCTAAGAATTTTTTAGTTTGAATTTTAATATTTTTTTCATTTTAATATCATTTAAAATTTTGTAAAAAGCCAATAAATAAACACAATAAATTTGTAAAAGACATTAACTTAGGAATTTACTATGCTTTCATAGTTCAACATCCTGATTTGTCGTTTCATATCACGTGACCCCAAGTGATCTCATCTCCCGTAAACTATGCTACAAAAATCTAATTATCTACAATAATTCAAGTTAAATCTTAATTTGGAATACAAGTTTAAATGCAAGAATAATTTCAATTTGTACCTATAGCTTACTCAGAAATTATGTAAAACTGCAGTGCATTATTTTGCTAGTGCATTGTCATTAGAATTGATGAGTTTAATCCTTGACCTTGCCTTTTCTGTATTTTTGCCTTCGGGTGAGTCTTATGATTGCATCCTAATTGACTTAATTACCGCGAATGGCCTTAGGGCATAAAATTGAACTATCTGGTAAAAATGTAATTGTATGCCAGTATTGATAGAAACAATCAATATGATAAGAAGTAGCTGCAAATTGTTTCGAAAACGATGCGTAAAGGTTACCAGCGAGGATATTCTGTTTGGCATCCAGTTTTACCAATACTGGCGATTTTATCGCCTGCACCAGCAAAACGGAAAAGTACCTAAATTATTACAATTATAATAGTTATACCTAACATTATTACCTAACATTAATAATTATACCTAACATTATTACATTATAATAATTATACTTAAATTATTATAATTTATATATTAAAAAGGCAGGCATTGACTTTATAATTTTTTGGCTCTTTTGGATATGATAACATTACCTTAAACCTTAGCTGGAGGGTAATGAAGGATATAAAAGAGTAGAGAAACTATTGTAAATATTTTGTAAATATGTATATTTAATCAATACTGGATTCTTTCCTTTTACTAATAAAGGGCCAACTCTTTTCAAAAGTCTCAATTATAGCCCGAATTGAATGAGGATTTTAATCTTCTTCTAATTTTCCATACTTTAGCCAGTATTTAGTTAAGTTTTGATATACTAATTGAAATCAAGTTCATTAAACTTTTAATATTTTCTTTCATTAAATTTAAGTTTTAATTAACTTCCTAAAGTAATTTTTGAGAAATTTCTGGAATTTTTTAGAGGTTTTTTAAGGACTTCTTTTCAAAAAAATTTTGGGTGCTACTTTGGTAGACGGTGCACGGATTTTGGCGAGTAATACAACTTATGGTAAACCCATTGATGGATAAGTTTTTTACGGTAACCGATACTTTGTTGTCATTTTATTTAAAAAATAATGTGTTTTATTGTGCATAAATTCCGTGTTTTAAATATTATTTATGGCTTCTAAATATTAAAAATCAATTTAATTTTGCATTTTTATTTGAAATAAAAATTTTATTGTTTATGATATTTTATGTTGTGGATGATGTAATCAATGACGTCACCTTACTTTAAAAGTAATTAGTTTTAATATCTATAAATTTAATCTAATGTTTTAAACATTATTTATGGCTGTTAAATATTAAAATACAATTTAATTTTGCATTTTTTAAAAAATGATTGATGCTACTTTGGTAGACGGTTGCACGGATTTTTGGCGATTTACGTTGGCGCGATTTTCACAAACGTCAGCCATCTTGAAAAACGCTGTTTTTACGCATAGTAAAGTATTCAAAACTTTAAAAAAATAAATATCGTTAAAAGTAATGGATTAATTTTTTGTTGAAAATGTCGCTTTTTAAGATGGCAGCAAGGTTAAATAAATACATTTACTATGAGTATAAAATCATATTTTATGAAATTTTATATTGAGGATGATGTAACCAATGACGTCACCTTACTTTAAAAGTAATTGGTTTTTATATGTATAAATTTAATCTAATGTTTTAAACATTATTTATGGCTGTTAAATATTAAAATACAATTTAATTTTGCATTTTTTTAAAAATGATTTTATTATGTATGAATTTTTAAATAATTTTAATTCTAGGCGTGATGTAATAAGCTCTCTGATTGGTTATAGAATATTTGTTCATTAACGAGCTATAATCAGCTTCCTGATTGGTTACTGAAAATTTGTGCATTTCTGCGCCGTTTTAAAATTTAATTCATATCTTCGAATTCCTTGAAAGATGTCTTCAAAGATGTTATTTAAATTATGATTCCGATTTTTTTTGTGGTACTTATCAATAAGCAATAGGTTAAATGACTGAAAAAATGTAAGTACACTGCTCAAAAAACAAAATGGGACAGTCCTATATCTCCCGTTC